TCCTGGAACTGGAGTTACAGACATTTGTAGGCTGCCATGGGGCTGCTGGGAATTGAACCTGGTTCCTCTGGAGGAGCAAACAGTGCTCTTAACCACCGAGCCATCTCTCCAGCCCCTAAACCAGCTATTTCTAAAATGAGTTTTGAAGGTAATTCAGCAAGCTAACTTGGGATTTTAGGGAAATGACTGCAGCGCTGTAGAAAGAAACTTAAAATCAGTCTCTCTGTGATGGGTAGTCTTGGTGGTCGATGTGATGGGATTTAGAAGCACATGTCAGGACACGTCTATGATGATGTACAAAGAGGAGTCAATGAGTGAGAAGACTTAACCTCAAACTGGACATCACTTTCCAATGCTTGGCCCAGACATAAAGAGGTCTGGAGGAAAGCAGTGTGCATGCATCTGTCTATGTTGCTTGTTTCTGAGCAAGTGTGTCTACATCTGCTCTTGCCATCCCCACTGATATCAGACCCAAAATTCTTCCAAGCCAGATTCAATATCAGTGACTCCCCAGGAATCAGCATACCTTCAGAGCCAAATTGAGACTATTGAGGAGCCCAGCCTTGTGGACTCAGAAATTACTGGGTTCTCTTGTCTACAGAAAACAATCATTTAACTGTCCAGCCCCATCATAAGCCAATCTAATAAATCCCAAATACATACATACACATATTATACTTCATACACACACACACACATACACACACACACACACACACACACACACACACACACACACACACACACAATGGGTTGTGCTCCACTAGAGATAACTCCTTAGTGGCTTAAGATATGTCAGGTTTTCACTTGCTTGGTTGAACCTAAGTTGGTGTGACTTAAGATTATCAAGGCTTATAAATGATTCATCTTGGAGGCATGCCTATAAAGGCCTCCTGATTACTACACAAGGATACTTCAAATGTTTGATGGAAAACCAGCAGGCATGATTTGACATAAGAAATTAATTTTATGAGTCATCATTTGTCACCAGCTTCAACCTACATCTAGAAGAATATATTGGGGGTGAATATTCAAGAGGGTATAGATGAATTTATAGGACCTTGATTAAAAAGCATGTGTTGATACAATTCATATGGACTAGTATAGAAAAAATATTGGTAGTTCTTAAGCCGTACAACATTGTGTTAAACTTCACAGAGGATTCTCCTTCACCCATCACAGAAACATTTCTCCAGTGCTAATGAGGCACCAGCCTCCTAGGGATGCAAAAAATAAATGAGACACGGTGCTCTTCCTCAAGTAACTCACTCTTACACGGGAAGAAATCGTGGAGGTCAACAAAATAAGTGAGAATAAAAAAACCTACAAAGAACTCACAGATAAAAATTAAGGCATTTTGGATTCAGTTATAATAAGAGAGGGGTTGTAGTTTCAAGATAAAAATGTAAACATCAGTAAGCATCTGGAGCTTGGCAGCAGAAAGACTCCAAACAAACACAAAATTATCAAGGGCCCTGCCCATTTCCATTTGTAATTCCAGGCACAGGAGAGAAGAATTACATGGTTCCTTTTGGTCTTTGACCCTGGAGTTACAAAGGCAATATCAGATAAACTGCTATGTACCAATGGGCAGATTCTTGACTTAATTAAACGTTACGTCTTGAGAAGCTAACCCCATGCAATACACATAAAGAAGACTTGGTATGCATTTATTTAAAAAAATAGTATCACTACTATTTGATTGATCTGTAGTCTGAATGTGTATGCAAAATGTAACCCTAAAGCCAGTGTTAGGAAATTGAAGTCCACAAATCAAAAGGTATCACTTTAGCTACACTGAGTGACAAAGCAGGGTGAAATAAGAAGCTTCACCCACGTGGTTCTTCATTCCCCTGAGCAATCGTAGTTCCCAAAGCTAGTGCCTTTGGATTGACTGCTTCATACAGACTCGGTAAACTCAGCAGGCCTCTCTAAGACTCTTGGACTTCTGAACTACTTTAAAACAATCCCCCCCAAAAAAATGTGTTACTCTCCACACAATACAAGTAACCCTAATAATAGAAACAAAACTACAAGCAGCATTAATGGAAGAAAACTGCAATGTAATGATAGTTAGCTTAAATGATACTATCATTTCCCCATTGTTTAGGGCTACATGGAAAATTCAAAAATATATTATCGTGCATCCGCAATCGCCAGGCTACCAGACAAGCAGCCGGAGATGAAGGCATCTGTCAGGATACAGGCATAGCGCTTCCAGCTGTAACTCACCATTGAGAAGTGCTTCCGGCAGATGAGACAAAGTCCCACCCACAGCCAGGAAGCTGCTCACAACTGACAGCTGCTAAGAGAAGGAGAACCAAGTTTTTCCAATGGAGTGACTCTGAGTACACCAACCAGATGTAGGGCAGACCTCATGCTCAGGAGTAGTTAACCAGCACAAAATGGACTCTGTAACATGTAGTTTTCCCCGCCAGTCCCCTGAGCCCTGCTACAGTTTCAGCCCCTAAATAACACACAGGACACTATATTAATTATAAGCTGTTGGCCATTTGTTATTGATTCTCATTGGCTAGCTCTGACTTAATTATTGACCCATAATCACCAGTATATGTTTTTGTAAGGACTTATCTTTCTGAGAACGCAGACTCGTGTCCTCTCTTCCCGGGGATCTTATGGCGATGTCTCAGTTCACTCCGTTTTCCCAGAATCCTCCTAGACTCCTAGTCCCACCTATCTTGCTTCCCTATTGGCCAACAGTGCTTTATTGACGCATACACAGGACTTCCCCATCAGGATTCCTTTTTTTTTTTCTTTTCTTTAAATTTAAATTTGTTATTTGCTTTTTTGGCTGTTGTATTTTTTGTTTTGTTTTGTTTAAGAGAGGTAAAGAACATAAAGTAGGGTAAGTAGGGAAAAGAAAGAATCTGGAAGGAGTTCAGGGAGGGGAAAGAATATGATGAAGACATATCATAAAAATAAAAATAATAATAATAAAAACATTTTAAAGAAAAAGAAGTGTTTCCCTTAAGAGACGATACTGGGGGATAGTTTTGCAGAAATGTTAAAATGTAGCCAGGTAAGATAAGTGAGAACCAGAATTGTTCCAGGCAATTCTTTTATCATGTCTTTGAAATAATCAGTTAAGATAAATACTAAAATGTTGACCAATAAATGGCCTCTCCAATTCCTTTTAAATACATAAAAATGGAGATCTGTATTTTGTATCACCTCCCAGGATTCCCCAGTGAAATACTCCCCTAACTGATTACTTCAAAGACATGATAAAAAATTACAAAAAAATAGTAGACTAACAATATGAAGGAATATGTTTAGAATCTTTAGATATCAAGTTTATAAAACATGACAGCACAGCAATGGCATGCAACAACTTGGTGTTCCTCCACTGAGGACAGCTTGGAAAGACAGAACTCAGGCTGGAGGATGTCAGTGTTGCCACAGTGGTGAAGCCCTCAGCTTGGGTGGGGAGGACTGACAGCACCCAGAGGACAGACAGAGAAGGCGGGTTCTAATAGGAAGGACTGAGTAGTGAGGCTTTTATTTTAAACGAAAGGTTTGAGGTTTATTCTGCATATTAGAATTTTTTTTTCTAAAAGAGGTAAGGGAAATAGTTTGGGCTTTGTAAAGCCTATTCCTGTCTTTTTGAAAGCTGAATAGAAAGGGTTGAGGTTAGGTGTAGGCGGCTCTAATTTAGGAGCTGTGCTTCTCACAAAAATCATGCTGTTTTCCACAATAGCTTTGCATTTGTGTTTGGAGAAAAGCAGAACCCTCACCAGAGAGCTTCCTTTTGCAGTAGACGGTGATCTAAACCAAGATCTCCACTGGCCAGAGTGCAGAGATTAAGAAATGGAAGCACTCAGGGTTCAGTGGGATAACTGTGTCCCATCCCTCCTTCTCAAGACTCCGGAATTGTCACAAGAGGGGGTTTTAAGAGGTAGAGGTTTTGGAGGACTGGGGAGATGTGATAGGACCATTTCACACAAGAACTCACAAGGCCGTGGCTCTATGCACAAGGCCTGTATAAGATCAAGCCAGTCCAAGGTTGGGGGGGGGGCTGGGAGAGGAGTCCGTGCAGTTCCACACACAGCTGAGGAGCTAGTGGCAGCTGATGTCTGCTGCAGTGGAGAACAGATATAAATACAACCTGCTCAGCTCATTTAGTGCTGCTTGTATGTTTATGATTTCAGGGTTGACCAGATGGTAACTGTCACTTTGCCACAGTCTAGAATCACCTGAGAAGGGAGCCTCAGTTGAGGAATTGTCTTGATCAGTTTGGTTGGCGGACATGTTTGTAGAGGGTTTTCTTGACTGTGACCTGGTTAACAGTCTGGTAAAGGAATACCTAGTCCACTGTGGGTGACACTGGTCCCTATGCAGGGTGGGTCCTTAACTATGTAAGGAAAGAGGAACAAAGCAAGGAGCCACGTCTTATTCTCTCTCTGTTCTTGACTGTAGATAAGATTGTAACCTGTGATGGTGAGACAAATAATCCCTCCCTGTTGCTGTTTTTTGTTAGAGGATTTGTGCCAGGAATAGAAAAGAAGCTAAGACAGAGACCTACTTGTAAACTATCTGCCATGTAATAATATTGAGCATCCATTTACTTTCTTTTTGACGAGGACATGAGGACATGAACAAATAGATACATTTAGCCTATACTTTTTCAATGTAACAAAAAAAAACTTACCTAAGAAATAAATATGGCCAGAACTCCTTTACAGTATTTGAGGTTATTCTATTTGTCTTCTTCCAATCCTAGATCTTTGGATTTGTGTTTTATTTCTTTACTCTCTACACAGTATAACAGTTTGCTTCAGTTTAATGTAGAATTAGCTTCTGTTGATTATTACCTGGTAATTCTAATGGTGTGTAGCACCAAGATTCTAGAAAGCACAAGAAAAGAAAACAGGCGATAATGCTAAAGTGTACCTGCTACTGACAGACACATTAAAGCCTGTATGCTTGGCCAGAGAGGAGTTGCGGATTTTTTAATCTATAGTTGTGAATCTAAGGATAGTGGTTTTAAGAATTACTAAGTACAAAGGTATCTCAAGAATTATGTTGATGTGCGTTTCCAGAGATTGCTCCCAAAGGTTCCAATTTGGACTGGCTTTAGTTTAACAGCTTCCCAGATGATTCTTAGCCCAAGTTTTTGGAAACATTCTTTTCAGTCCTGCAATATACAAAAATAGCAATTAATCAGATCTGTAAGCACAGCAAAATCTGCCTGCCCCCTGTTATTTTGCTGAGCAGTGCCAAACTTTCAGCACAATCACTGTTTGACGAAGTGCTTTGCCAGTGACCATGGTGACCTAGTAAGTAAATGTGTAAGATATGTTTACACATAACAAAACAGTAAAGGTGAGTGTCTTTTTTTTATTTTGTTGAGCAAGAGCCAATGGAATTATAAAAGGGAGTATTTAGTCATAAGAAGCAAAAACTGCCAATGCTATTGCATATTGCGTAATCCCATAATTTACTTAAAATGAGCTTTCTTTTTTTTTTTTTTTTTTTGGTTTTTCGAGACAGGGTTTCTCTGTATTGTTTTGGAGGCTGTCCTGGAACTCACTCTGTAGACCAGACTGGCCTCCAACTCACAGAGATCCGCCTGCCTCTGCCTCCCAGTGCTGGGATTAAAGGCGTGTGCGCCACCAACACCCGGCTTTTTTTTTTAATGAGCTTTCTAAAGACACAGGTATAACTTTATTTTCTATGGGTCTTTACATACACTTGTGTTCACCCTAAATACCACCATGTGCATGAGCTCTAGCACAAGAGTTGAAAATTCACGATATTGTATCCCTTAAAACCAAGGTGGAGCCAGGAGCGGTGGCACCCTTCGTTAATCCCAGCCACCAATCACGAGGAAGAGGCCACGAAGTCTCGGAGTTGGGGACCCAATGCCTACTTCTGGACTCTGTGGACGCCTCCATACATACAAGGAGGCTAAAATGCTAAGACACTCATTTTTAAAGAATGGAATACAGACTTTTTAGTGGGAATGCGGAAAAAAAATGAGAGCTTGAAAGAGTGATTTAAAATTGGGAAGTGCAGGTATAAACCAGGAGCTTGTTCTCAGTAATCTCTGCAACCATTTGGTGCCTGTCATCACCAGACGCCAGAATCCCACTAGGGACGATTTAAATGGTGACGCGAAAAGTGTGATGCAGAAAATAGGAATTTGGTTTACTTTAGAGTGTTTACCTAGCATGCACAGCACCCTAAATTCAAGTCCCAATAACGTAAAGCTTAAAAAGAGGGATAGAGTTTATTATAAGAGTCAAGAATGAACAATGGCCAAAAGGACTATGGTGTGTCTGCATTTTAGACAGACTTCATTCCATTTCCTTGGTTTCTGGATCAACCGGCTTTTCCTGTGACCTTTCTCATGTGCAAGTAATTGAGATACCTGTTTGCTGTATTTCTGGAGGGAGCAATGGTATGCCTTCGTTGTTTTTTGTTGTTGATTTTGCTTTGTTTTGCTTTATCCGCTGAACACTAATCTTACAAGATTTGGAGTTCCTAGAACCAGATAGCAGTCTATTAACTTTTCAGACAGTCCTGGATGTCATGTTTTATCTCAGGGCTGGAGACAGGACTCAGATCCCCTTCTTCTGAGCCATATTTAGGGTTCTACGACTCCAGACCTTGTTACAGGCTGCACATAATTCAGCAGGGAATCAGCAACAACATCCTCCAAGCCTGCTGGTCTCTAACTAGACACCCACCAATACTAGTAAAGCAGACACAAGACCCAGTCCCTCACACGTGATGCCCTCGGGGTCCCCAGGAGGAAGGGAAGACACAGGAAAAGCCAATCTGAAACACTGGCTAGCATTAATAAATTAGTCAAGGGCTTGAAGCTGTAACTTTCCTTACTTACCCACGGGTTCACAGAGCAAGAGGGGGCTTAAAGAAATAGTAGGAAATAAACACAGCACTGTTTATTAGAAATCTTTTCAAAACTGTTTTGTGCTGTGTTGCTAAAACATGTGACGGTCACAAGAGACTGTATCTTGTAACATTTTTTCAGACATCCCCTTTCTGAAGTAGAAATAGGTCTAGGTTAGTGGGGGAATTAACACTCCTAGACTCATTCGATCGTTTATCCTTCCCTGGCCTGGGACATTAGTTCATCTAATAACCCTTTTAATTAATGATCTGTGATAATAGGGGTGTTTCCTTTTGTTTCCTTTGTTACCACCAGGAAAGCAGAAAAAATTCATTTGAGTCAGCACAACCCAGCAATTACTTATTTTGTTTGGGGTTTTATTTCTTTTTCGTTGTATTTATTTGTTTATCTATGCCTATTGACATACAAAAGTTGAATACACTAATGGGGTCTGAAACAGGGCTAAGAAGCTGTTTTTACTAAAATCCACATGTGCCTCTCCCTTAGGCTATCATACTGCTGTCTTTTTCACTTTCAGAATTAACGAGTTTAACAGGAATGAAGAAGTCTGGATCATGTAGAGGGTGTCTAAAGTAGGGAAGATTTGAGCTCTTCTTCCTTCAAAAGGATGGAGTTACCAATAAAGAACTTCATTCTGCCAGACCTAGCCTAGGAGTGGATTGTCCATCCCCTAAACCAGCTCTCTTCCAAAACCAGGATCTTTCAGATCCCATTTTCTGTCCCCAGTCTTAATTCAGACTATCTGGAGACTACAATGGCACCAGGTTCGCTTCCCTCAAACAGAGGACTAATTGGGCTGTTGGTTAAATTAGCATAATTCTAATTGTTTCCTGGCTTTCTATGGGTGGTTATACAGCCACAGAGACAGTGAGGAGGGAACTAAAACTTTTTCCCAGAGCAAAACTGTAAATAAACCCATATCCATTGTTTTCTGTTTCATAATTTGATCACATATAGTCGAAACACAGGGAAACTATGCAGTGACCTTAATGACTTTAAATGTCCAGTAACAGTACAGTTACATATTGTAGTGCGTGAAATCTTAAAACTGGGGTAAACACGGTTATCTCCCGAAATACTTACGATTTCTTTGTGGTAAAAGCATTCAAATACCCTTTCTTTATCTTGTTTGAAACAGCAGTGCATTGGAGCAAGGTTCCAAAAAGCTACTGAGGCCAGGCTACATAACAGGGCTGGATTTCCTGCATGGAAGCCTTGAGAAAGGGTTTTTTTGTGAAGCCATGAGGGTGAAGCATTAAGTTGTGGTAGAAACCCCAGAAGACTCCAGAACCATGGGCATTCTGTAAGAAAAGCTACAAACACTGAGTGGATCCCACTCAGGACATAGGCTAAACGCGCCTCAGACGACAGAACAGCAACCCCAGAGTCTAGCTGTTGCCACCAAGAACCCTAAATTCCGACAAGGGGCTTCAGGGTTTGATGTTTTCTCCAGATGGATTTTCAGTTCATTCTGATCTGAAACTTCCTTTCTATACCCCCAGTTCTCCCTTTTGGATGAGAATGTATAGGCTGAGTCATTGCTTATCGGAAGACTATAAATTGCTTTTGGTTTTATTGAGGCTAATAGTTGAAGAGTTTGCCTTGACTCTCACAAGAGACTTTGGACTTTGGAACAGTGTTAGGACTTCTGAAGTTGAACTAAATGCATTCTGCTTTATGACACGTCCATGAGCCCAAGCAAGCCAACGGTGGGATATCACAGTTTAAGGTGATTACTCGGGTGTCAAGTTGACAAGAGATGGATTTATGATTGTCAATCACAATTATCAACTTGACTGAAATAAGAAACATCGAGGGCATTAATGGGTCACACTTCTGGGTGTGCCCGTGATGGTTTTCTCAGTGGCTGTAACTGAGGAGCAAAGACCTATGTGGGGTGTGCATGGCATAATCCTACAGGCCGAGCTCCAGAACTGAGTAAAAGAGGAAGAGGGGGTGGGGAGAAAGGGGAAATCTAGCTGTGTACTTGAATTCCTTTCTCTCATATCTCTGGTTGCACCATGAATCATGGCTTCCCTCCCTGAAGGACTGTAGTCCTCTGAAAACTCTTCCCTGAAGTTGGTCATATAGGAGTATTGAAAATGCAATACCTTACTTCTACTCCTGGAATATTTAATCATGCCAGTGGGTTTCAAATGAGTTTCCCAGGTGGGTAGGATGAGACATAAATAAGAGTTCAGGCGTTGGTGGCACACACCTTTAATCCCAGCACTCAGGAAGCAGAGGCAGGCAGATCTCTGTGAGTTCGAGGCCAGCCTGGTCTACAGAGACAGGTCAAGAACAGCCTCCAAAACAATACAGAGAAAAACCAAGGGAAAAAAAGGAAATTCTGGTTTTTGGACTTTTCCAGTGCTGCCTTTAGTCCAGAAAGCTGGGTTATCAAGTTTCCAAGCATGTCTAATATACAGTACAGTCTGAGAACCACTGGAACCAGATGCTGCATTATCATGGAGGTAGAAGATGCCAGTCTAGATCAGAACCCTACTTGTACAGTGAGAAATCCAAGTGCTAGGCTGTCTCATGTAGAAACAGCTTTGGAGATCACTCTTCCTGGGGGAAACAGCCACAGTGTTAAAGTAGTTAAAAGTGGGAATTCAGTGTCTACATGGGAATGACAACTCTCTAAATCAATAATTCTCAACCTGTGGGCCGACACCCCTTTGATGGGCAAATGACCCTTTCAACAGGGATGGCATATCAGATATCCTGTGTATCAAATATTTCCGTTATGATTCATAAGAGTAGCAAAATTACAGGTATGAAGCTGCAACAGAAATAATTTTATGGTTGGGGGTCACTATTGATATATGCCTTTATATCGGGGACCCCCCAGAGACCACCAAGGAGTCTGAATCTGTATGCAAAAGCAAAGAGTATTTATTCAAGTTTGAGTTTGGACCCCTCTTGTGTCTGATGCAACAGTACAATGGTTGAGCCTTGAACTCAGTTGGGGTGGGGTTTTTTTTTATCATAGCAGAGGTTGGGGTGAGGGAATTTTTAAGGTTCAGGACCCCTGATTGACTGGTATTCATCTAGGGGTGTCTTGGCAGGAAGGTGTAGGAGTGTAATGGGCTAAGGGACATCTGGTGCTGCCTATAATGGTTGGAATGTTAGGCATTTATTTTGGAACATTAGATATTTCCCCTGGGATGTTGATTGACCTCTTCCTTGGTGCTGCCTCAGTGGTCTTAGTTTATGGTCTTTCCTGGAAACAGGTATTGCCTTACAGTAAACTGAAATCTAGGCCTATTCTTTGACTGACTTCTATTGAGCCTCTCATGTAGGCAGTGTAGCCAAGCTGCCCTGGGCCCCACAACCACAGCACGAGGAACTGTATTGGAGAGCCACAGCATTAGGAAAGTTGACAACCACTGCTCTGAATGTTGCTGGGTCTGCTGTGGGGGTCTTAGTGTGCTCCTAATTCTTCCAATTAGACTTCCAACTACACACATGGGCATAGTAAACCAGTAGAAGAAAAAGGTTTTACTTTTCGAAATGACTCTATCACTTTTTGACTCAAATACAATCGCTTTGAAAATGACAAATATCTCTACATTCAGTTTACGTGACATGCCTAAGATTAAAGGGAAGGGGAAAACAAATCCTTAGCATGAGTAAAGATGTGTCTGCTGGTTTGACATCACGGTGCAATTCCTTTGCTCCGAAAAATGCCAGTTTCTTTTCCATATGACTCACAGAGAGCATCTCTTCCTTAGATGTGGGCCCTGTGCTATGTAGATCTAGATATCAAATAACCACGGCTTACACTTTAATCCAAGAATGTCCATCACAAAGAGCAAAACAAGGAGAAGGCTCTCTTTTTCATCATCAGAGAGACTTCGTTAGGCTTAACAGCATTAATCGCATTAAAATACTTTTGAATGATATCCCCAGGGCATCCATGGATAATACAAGCTACAACGAACACTGCTTACGTTAGTTAAACTTGGGTCATGCAAAGATTTAGAAACTATTCCTACATGAGACAATATAGTAGTCTCATTCACTTCCTTTTATCTCTTTTCCTTCCTCCTGTGTCTGGATAATGACGTTTAAGCTCCTTTAAGCAACAAATATTAACTGCCACAGAGAAGGAATTATCTGAGCCCTCGAAACTGCGCTATTTGAGACTGACGGGGCCAGGCACTGGGACTGTGACACTCTTTTCTTCTCTGTCTTTTGCTTTGCCAGTTTACCTTCCCTCTATCTCCGTGTCCTTCTATGAGTAGGGCCAGTGAGGCCTCGGCTGTGGAAATGCAGTCAGAGTCAAGGTTTGCTCTGGAGTAAGGACAATGCAGGCCTCGTTGCAAACAGTTTCTTATTATTGAATAACATTTATTCCGGCCTTCGTGTCTTTTCCTTACCAAACAGATTTACTTTCTGCTCCCAAATGGAAGATAACTACCTACTCCTTGTTCACCAAGTCTCTGGCCTTACACAACAATGATCCTCACCGATCTGGCAAGAAACTGCAAAGCTTTGGGCATGGACCAGTCAGCAGCGTGTGTTTGCTGAGACAGTTCTCAAGACAGACGTGGAGCTTTAAACGTACCAATAACATCACATCCCTAAACGTCTCAACATGCAT